TCCTGAACTAGAGAGAGTGGGCAGGTTTCTTTTTCCTCTCCTCCGTCTTCCAGCAAACCAGCCTCCGAGGTGATCAATGAATATTCCCGCAAGGTGGATTTTCTGAAGGGGATGCTGCAGGCAGAAAAGTTGGTGAGCAGAGCTGGTTCTGCCTCCTCAGCCCCATCAAGTGCACCAGAGACCCCAGTGCCTTCAGATAACTTATCTTCCCACATTTCTGTAGACTTCCTCCTCAGAGAAGGCACTAGCCAACCAGTTCCTGACCCCTGGTCGCGTGCCGACCATGGCCAGGGAGCGTGTGCCTGCCACCAAGACGGTACATCTGCAGTCCCGGGCACGGTACACCAGCGAGATGCGGAGTGAGCTGCTGGGCACGGTAGGCTCCCTCCCTTGTTCCTGGGAACCCCTCAGATAATCCCCGAGTACAGTGCCTGCCAGGATAATAAAGCCTCTTCCCTGGGCCAGCAGACAAGCCTTCCCAAGAAAGGGCCATTGTGGCCGGGCATTTGCTCGATGATTCAGTACACAAATGAGAAATGTGTTGAAGCCCCAGAGTTAACCACCCCCCCAGCAGGATTTGGCTCCTGGCTTGCCATTTTCAAGAGACAGGCCGGTTTCTTCATTATAAAATACGATGAGAATTGCTTTTCTGAGTACTTCACATGCATCAGCTCAGCCCTTCCGAATGTGAACTGCTGTCATGACCAGTTTATAGATGAGGAAACCAAGGCTTGCAGGTCACAGGATTTGCCCAGGCCTCTGAATAAGGATATGGAAGTTTTGGGATATGTTTTTTGTTTTTTAATATTTTTAGCTGTAGATGGATATAATCTTTGTTTTAATTATTTGTGTGTGTGTGTGTGGTGCTAATAATAGAACCCAGTGTCTCACACATGCTAGGCAAGTGCTCTATCCCTGAGCCACATCCCCAGCCCAAGTTTGGAGAGCAGAAAGGACCGATTTGGGATAGGATAGGGTGGTGACTTCATCTCTCTCCATTTTTCCAATAGGACTCTGCTGGAGGTGAGTCACTGAATGAAATAGGACTCAAGCCCAGGTACCTGCACCCAACCTGGCTCCCACAGGTCTTCCCTGGTCCAGGGAGAATGTCACCCAGTAATGTCTGGAGGGTAAGTTAGGACAGAGGAAGTGGCCCCTGGAAGAGACAGAGCTGAGCACTGCCAGGCCACAGGACCAAGGCTGGCCTAGATGGAGAGACCTGGGGTCTTGGGGAGCCCAGTCAGTGGTGGGAAAGACTTTCTACAAGAAGGGACATTCTAGCTAAAGCTCTAAAGCGTGATTAGGAGCCCACTGGGCAGCAGCCCAGATGAGGAAATGGCATGCCAGGTAGCAGACAGGGCCCAGGCGAAGATCAGGAGGCTTGAAGCAGAAACCAATCTCTCCTTCTTGCTGCTTGGCCTCTTTTGCTTCCAGAGCCCGAGCAGGACCTGAGGAAGCGAAGGTGAGTGTCTCCAGCCTTCTGGAACGGGTGGGGAGGGAGCTGCAGAAACCTTGGGCCACTGAGGTGCCACTGCAAGTCACCCATTAGAAGCCACTTCTGAGAACGCTCTTCCCAGAAGCCACACAAAGAAGGGGAAACGGTCCCCAGCAGGGCATCAGCTGGAGCCACAACCCCCAGGCTCCTTGGGAACACGGCGGTCTCTTTCTTCCCCTGCTCCACCTCTCCTATCCGCTCATCCCCCATGTGTGGATCAGTGGGGTGGCGGGGCCCAGGCCTGTGGACGAGAAGCAGTCAGCAGCTGAGCTGGACCTCGTCTTGCAACGACACCAGAACCTCCAGGAGAAGCTGTCAGAGGAGATGCTAGACCTGGCCCGGAGCCTCAAGACCAACACGCTGGCTGCCCAGAGCGTCATCAAGAAGGACAACCAGGTGTGGGGGCTGGGAACTCTCCAGCCTCTGCCTTGGGGCATCAGAGGTGGCTTCTCAGGAGGGGGGCGCTGTGGCTGGGTTCTGCTGGACCAATAGGAGTTTGGTAGGAAACCAAAGTGGTGGCAGTCCCAGCAAAGGGCAGAGCATCGGTACACATGGAGAGGTGTAGCCTGCCCTGGGGTGGCCCCAGCCCTGTTGACATCCTGCCCACCTCGTCCACAGACGCTGTCCCACTCACTCAAGATGGCTGACCAGAACCTGGAGAAGCTGAAGACGGAGTCGGAGCGGCTGGAGCAGCACGCACAGAAGTCGGTCAACTGGCTGCTGTGGGCCATGCTCATTATCGTCTGCTTTATCTTCATCAGCATGATCCTCTTCATCCGCATCATGCCCAAGCTCAAATAAAGACTGGCTGCACCCTGTGTGTCCTGTCTGCCCTCGTCCCATCCAGGGGGTCCCCTTGAAGGGGGATGGAGACAAGATGGGAGGGTCATGGATAGTCTCCAGGAGCCACAGAGAGTGGATGAGCAGGGAGGAAGAAGCTTTGGCTCCAGGGATCTGGAGGAGGTTGACAGCAAACACCGAATTCCATCCTGGTGTGTGTCCCACTCTGGACAAGGCCAGGCCCCACCCAGGAGAGGATGTGGTGGCACCCTGCAGACCCGCTACTCAGGAGGCTGAGGTAGGAGGATCACTCAAACCCAGGAGTGCCAGGCAAGACCCATCAAAAAAAAAATTTTTCAAAAATTCATTTCCTACATTCTATACATAAATAGCTGCAAAATACATTAGAGGATCCCATTCATAGTAATAGCATAAAAGATTCACTATCTGATTAAACTAGTTTCCTTCATGTATGAAGAACTAAAGCTCATCAAGGAAAAAATCTTCAGGATGTGAACAGGAAAAGAAATACAACTGACTTCTGAAGTTTTTCACTCAGCAAATTAGGTGAAATTTAAACCTCTAAAAATACACTTGGCAATGGATACTACAGGTGCTGACAAGGTTGTGAACAATCCCTCTTTCTCTGTGTAAATGATATGAACTCCAAAGAATAGCTTGGCAGGATCTCCAAGTTTAAAATACACAGATTCCTTTGCCCTAGTGATTCCATTTCTAGGAATTTATCCAACAGATAACCCATAGGTAGCCAAGAACTGTTGGCATGAATACGTTTTGCAGTATTGTTTGCAATGAGGAAAACGTATTTCTTTGAATTAGGATCTCTCCAGGAGACATGATTAACTGCTGTCTCTGGGGACACAGTTGGGGTCTTTTGCTTTTGTTTTACTCTGTGAGGATGGGAGGACCCAGTGCTTCACATATGGTAGGCAAGCCTGGGCCATGGTACTACACCCCCGAGCCCTTTTTTT